GTATGGGGGGTTCCTTGTTTGGATTCTTCGCCCGATGTACTAGTTCCACTAGATTAGGATTGAGCGAGAATATTATCATTTTAGATCGTTAAGTGTAAATATCTCTATAAGGTTATCTAAGAGTTCATATTTCAAGTTCGCATGATCTCCGAATTTCGAGGACGAAATTCTTTTAAGGGGGGAAGAATGTAAAACCCCAAAATTTTCTACAATAAATAGATGTGAATTATTAATAGTAAATATTTTCCTTGTGATGAATAATCATATATATGTCATATGAATGTGATTATCTGTGTTTGAGAACCCAACAAGTGATTTTAAGTGAGAGAAATCGAGTGTTATGGCCAGCGTGTAAAATGCCCAGCAGCAGGCATTTTTGTGCTGCGTGGTCGACCGACGCGGTCGACCGTGGCGGTCGACCGACACGGTCGACCGCACAGCGGTCATAGAGTTTACAGGTTTTGTTTTCTTTGCGGTTTTTGTTTCGGGTCTTTTGGGTTTCGGGTCGGGTTAGGGAGTTAGTATTTATACCAACTCAACCCAGGAGAGCCTCTCCTCTCCTCAGACCTAAAACCCTAGCCCCCATCTCTCTCCTCTCAAAAACCCTAGCTGGACCTGGTGATTTGAGGAATTTGGAGGAGTTCCAGGGGATTTTCGCAGATCTGAGCAAAGGAGGATCATCCCCAGAGCTTTTGTCAGCACCTAAGGCGAGTATCAACTCGCTCAATCCCTCACCCCTATTTTCTATGGTTTTATTTCGATTTTTCATGAGTTTTTGAAGAGCCCAACAGGTATTTTCGTATAAAAACGAGTTCTTTACATTATGGATTGCAAGAATCGATATTTCAGTTTATGAAAGTTCACCAACGTTTTGTCTTTCAATTATTAAAACGTTTTTGGTTTGTTTCTCATGGATTTAGAATATGGAAAACGTAGATTTCAACCTTGGGATTAGTGTTTATTTTCAGTATGATTTTTGAGAAGTTAGAACTCTTGTTATCGTGTATAAATGAGAATTTTGTTCCAGGTTTCGAGCTGACAGAAACCCAGATTTGGGTTTCTGTCCGCTCGGCGGTCGACCGGTGCGGTCGACCGCTGAGCTCGTTTTAAGGCTTCGATCGACCGCAAATTATTTCGGTCGACCGCGATGTTCTTTCGGTCGACCGCAAATTATTTCGGTCGACCGCGACCGCAAATTATTTCGGTCGACCGCGATGTTCTTTCGGTCGACCGCAAATTATTTCGGTCGACCGCGACGTTCTTCCGGTCGACCGCCAGTCGCATACCAGAGTGCGGTCAACCGGTGCGGTCGACCGCCGCACTTTCTGTTGTGATTTCCTGTTCTGGATATTTTTGGATATATTACTTATGTTCGGGGGTTTGCCTGGACTATCTGACCTTGGTATTTAGTCTCACTATGTAATCCATGCATGATAGATGACCTGAGGGTATGATTTGGGGACTTACACACTGTTTGAGTGTGGATTGATATAAGTAGACTTCACTATATACATCATAGCGATATTTTCACTATTCCACAGTTTTGAGTGTGGATTGATATAAGTAGACTTCACTATATACATCATAGCGATATTTTCACTATTCCACAGTCCTCGTGTTGGACTAAAATCCATAGAAGTCCTCGTGTTGGACTATAATCCATTTCAGTCCTCGTGTTGGACTATAATCCATTTCAGTCCTCGTGTTGGATATTTGTCATTTATTCTATGAGTTGGAAACTACCTTATATAGTTCCTGTTTCGGACATAGTTCTTAACCCTGCATATGACCTTCTCACAGAAGTTCACGACATGATTTTGACAAGACATTCATGTAGGCTATGATATGGTACTGCGCTTGTGTTCTGAGATTTGTTGTATTTAATTTTTATTGTTCCTATATTAGAACCTCAGGTTTGGTGATTAGGGGTTTACAATTTGAGATATAAGGTATATACATGAGGGTTTCCTTGTCAGGATTATTTCGCTCGACGTACCTATTCTCGTGTTGTAAATATCTAACCACTAAAACCCTCTTTAGCAAGACCAATGATTTTAGATCTATTATATATTAACTGTATTTTCTTATACAACAAGCCCTTTCCCTTGGGGTTGGTTGTGATGTTACTCGCTAGCGCTTTGACGCTCGTTATCCCTCCCCCTTTCAGGTCACGAGCTAGGAGCACGGAGAGCCGCAGGTTGATAGTGGACCACTTTAGTGTTCAGCTTTACATTTTAGCAATGTAATAATTTCTTTGGGCTCCACTGTAGTTGGTATTATACATTTGAGGACTATGCTATAGATGTTGTAACGGTTGTATGCCTTATATCCTTCATTCAGACTTGTTGTATTTGAGGCTTGTTGAGAACCCCAGTATTTGCATTTCAGACATTGTCTTTGTATTTTCTGTATGTTGGATGATGAAATAGCATTTCGATCCCTATTATTTCATCAGTTATCTCTTGTATTATCTTTTACTTGCTTTTTGTACCTACACCTGTTATTGACTATACTAGAGTGATAGAATTGTGATGGTGAAACATGTTATTGCACGGTGTGGTGCACTGTTATTGACTATACTAGAGTGATAGAATTGTGATGGTGAAACATGTTATTGCACGGTGTGGTGCATGACAAGTTTGACATTCTTGGTTTCACCAAGGACTGCAGCCTTATGTGAACCCAGGGTCGTCACAGAAAGATTTGGGTTGTCTATGATTTTGTTCTGGAATTGGAGAATCACAAATGATATAGTTGAGTTATTTAATATTTTAGTTAATGATTTCGGTTGTGATTTATTTCCTACAATCAACTATTTTTTTTCTCATCAAAGCTATCTTGCATTGTTTAAGATGACCACTGGAAACAGGCTTTTTATAAATTTAGCTCTCATTTATTTTTTATTGGATAATTAGTTATTGCATATCGAAGAACTATATTGGATCCTTTGAAATATCATAGATAACATTGTTATTCTAACTATTTAGAAGAACTATATTGGATCCTTTGAAATATCATAGATAACATTGTTATTCTAACTATTTAGTCTTTTTCTTACAACCATCATAATGTAGTTTTACATATTAGCTGGTTGGTATATATGAATGACGTGTTCTGAACAAAGATATTCAATAAGCCATTATCCGAAAAATCAATAAAATTGTCTACAATTCCAAAATTGATGCTGGACAGGATGAAGTTGAAACAAGTATGTATGTTAAAACACACTTACGCATGCACATATGAAATTCTCCCAAAATAGTCATACCCAAAAATTAATTTTGTTCTAAAGACCCCGTTGATATGTAGGTAATTATTTTATTGGTTGCTGCACATCATCCATAGGCATTCAAGCATTCTAGATACTTTGATTTGGTATGTATTCATCTTACATGGTCACATGCTAACCTGTTTTTAATTTTTAATTATTGATCATATGTAAAGTGGACATGTGCATATCAATTGTCAATAATCATGGTTTTGTAATAAACTTGATTTGGTTTGGAATCGGAGAGGAGAAAGATTTGGGTTGTCTATGATTTGTTTCTGGATCGAATAGGAGAATCACAAATGATATAGTCGAGTTATTTAATTTTTTAGTTAATGGTTTTGGTTGTGATTTCTTTCCTACAATCAACTGTTCTTTTTTTTTCCTCATCAAATCTACCTTGCATTGTTTAAGATGACCACTAGCAACATGCTTTTTATAAATTTAGCTCTCATTTATTTTTTATTGGATAATTAGTAATTGCATATCGAAGAACTATATTGGATCCTTTGAAATATCATAGATAACATTGTTATTCTAACTATTTAGTCTTTTTCTTACAACCATCATAATGTAGTTTTACATATTAGCTGTTTGGTATATATGACTGACATGTTCTGAACAAAGATATTCAATAAGCCATTATCCGAAAAATCAATACAATTGTTTACAATTCAAAAATTGATGCTGGACAGGATGAAGTTGAAACAAGTATGTATGTTAAAACACACTTACGCATGCACATATGAATACACCAGAACTTGAATGAGCATACGCATACACATCCTACCTACTAAACTACATAAGTATACATATGTCTAGCGCTTTAGAGTCTCCAAAGACGAATGAAGTTTGTTCCAACCTAAGTTGCATGGAAACAGGTAGGGGTACATGTACCGGTAGGGGTGCAGGTAACACGCGCATGGGCGCACACACTATATATATATATATATATTGTGAGGAACAGGGTGCTTAGGCATACCCAATTCACCCAAAATAGGCATACCCAATTTCAACAACACACGCATATTGTCAAGGTGGCCATTATGAGGAACAGGGTGCTTAGGCATACCAAATTCACCCAAAATAGGCTTAAGGCGTCAATATTCAATAGGAGATCCTAGACGCTATATTGTGAGGCCTCAGAGCTGCCTCCGCCAAGGTAGAAGCCGAGATTGCTTTTTAAACAGCATGATAGTATAAAACAAATGCCCTATTGTATACAGGAAAACTGTAATGAAATAATGCAAGAGAATAGAAGTCATACTCATGGCCGCATAGTGTATGACCGGCCCGGCCCGGAATAGTAGTTTTTTTATTTTTTATTTTTATGTATTATATTATATATGTATATATAAATATATATAATATGTATAATATATGTATATATAATATATTTTTATATATGTATATATAACATATTTCTATATATGTATAATATGTCATATGTGTGTATATATATACTCTCTCTTAGTGTATAAGTATATATAAGTATACTCTCTCTTATGTAAGTATATTTATGTATAAGTATATATAAGTATACACTACCACATATTTGCTCTAACGCAACAGTTCTAGTGCAACGCTTATGACCGTTGCGCTAGGTATCTATGGGGGCGGTTTTGCAACGCTTTGACAACGGTTTACAAAAACCGCTTCATTAGGCCTAATAATTTTGATTTGGGCCGATTTTATAGGCTGGTTTGGGCTTAACACTGGAACTAAGTCTTATTTTTTCCCACCGCTTTACCAAATATCCCTCGTTCTCTCTCTCTCAAATCATCACCCCTTTCTAAAATATCTCCCTCTTCGTTCGCTCTGGGAGATCGCCATGGCCGAAATTCGTCGATCTCATCGCTGAACTCGTCGCTAATCTCTTCGCCGTTTTCCGATCTCATCGTCTCCGATCTCAACTCTGATTTCATCGTTGATCTTGTAACTAATCTCTTCGTCGAGCTGCTGGTCTCGTCTCCGATCTCATCTCCGATATAGGTCGTCGAGCTCGCAGCTAATCCGTCTCCGATCTCACTCTCCTTTGGACTCTCAGGTACCTCGTTCCTTTTATTTCTGATTTCTACAGTTTCTTCCCCTTTCTATTAGGGAAATTATTTAGTTGTTGATTTCCATCCTTTTCCCTGTTTTTGTTAGGTGTAGAGAAAGTGACGGTGGATATCGAAAGCAACAAGCTCACCGTAATTGGGAAAGTGGACCCAATAGAGATCCGCGATCTGGTTCAGAGCAAAAGTCGCAAGAAAGTGGAGCTCATCTCGCCTCAACCAAAGAAGAACAAGGACGGCAAGAAGGAGGATGCTCCCAAGTCCAAAGAGGTTTAATCTTATTTCTTCTCAATTTGATCATCGAATTCTATGTGGTTTCCTTTGAAAAACATTTCCATTTTTAAATAGTATTTATTTATTTTTGTTAGCCTTCATTGGTGACTGTGGAGTTAAAAATTCGGTTGCATTGTGAGGGTTGCACTAAGAAAACCAGAAAGAAAATTATGGGTATTAAAGGTAAAAAGATTCAGCTGATATTTATTTACGTTTTAGTATCCATTCTTTTTTATCTGTGGAGATTGCATTTCTTATCGCGCATGAAATTAGGTCGAACTATGTGGGCGGTTATTTGAAATTAAATATCTCCAACCTTGTACAGCTTTCGCAGTCCTGCTCTTTCTTTTCTGTTGGCTTATCGGCTATATTCCAGCGCCAGTAGCAGTCAGTGTCTGTAGTTCTCTATGAGTTATCATAATAAATTAAGTCCAATTTACAGTAATTTTTAGGCTTTTAGATGCAAATTAAGGAAAAGGCGAAGTTCACCAAATAAACCTAATTGATATCCTGGAAGTGTTTATTTTTCTTTGTTCTTTGAAATGTTTTGCCCTCACTTTACTCAAAAAATGGATTTAATTTTGCAAGCGCTTGGTTTCATTTCGGCTCTTTTCACGACAGTCCCTGAGCCAGTTCTCTGTAGTTGCTACTGATGCCTCTGCTAATTTAGGGCTTCTAGAACCATCAGAGCTCAGAACAAAGCAGCTGTCTGCTCGCATATTGCCAAATGTTCAGCTTTCGCTCTTTTTATGACCATCACTTTATAGTAAAGGATAAAGTTTTACAAATTTGCACCCTTAAAATATGTCAAGTATATGACCTTGAAGGTAACTGTTTATTACAGGGGTGGCAAGTGTGTCCATGGACCCTGCAAAGGACCAGGTCACGGTGAAAGGTAACCTTTTGTGTAGCTGTTCAAAATGAGACCCTCTCCACCTTGGCAATATAAATACTGAATAGAATGTGAAGTTTTATTAATTAGTTTTGATTTTAACTTGTATATTGTTATGTTATTGTAGGAGAAGTATTCAATTGCCGATTCAGGACGAAAATAGACCTTACAAACAATTAATAGTGCATGGAAAAGAAATGTTGTGAATGTAGAATATAGGAAAAGGGTATGCAACTGGGGAAATCCATAACAGAAATCCTAATGGAATGTTGTGCAACTCTTCAGTACTTGTAATTTGTAGGGTTCAAGTTCAAATTACAAAAATCTTAGTTCTTATGTTGAAGATTACCAACTAATAAGAACTAACGAATGTTTGTGTTCAGCCCTAATGGATGTTGAAGAGTACTAACTGATATTTGTGTTTAAACATTCAGTTCTTATGTTTTTGTTTGCAATAATATGTTTCGGTGCTTCAAGGATATTGACATCTCACTATTTTGAGACCATGGTGATTGTATCTGTATGTCTAAATATCCTATTATATGTAAAATGATTATTCTCCCTCCTATCTTTATTTTCTTACTGTCTTCTTATTAGAGACTATTAAGAGTTGGAACATGAAAATGATTTGGGGTAGCTCATGTTATCAAAGAAGAAACAGTAAGTATGAAGAATTTGATGATGGAGCATGTCAACAATATTGTGAATAATGTATCTAAATAGCAAGTACATCATGATGAATAATATGTTATTTTGTCGTGTATAATTATTTATTGTTATATCATTTCAGTGGGTTTGTATCTGTGATTAGATTTGCTCTTAAGGTATTTAGATTTGCCGCCGTCGGATTTTATTTACTTCGTGGTTGGGTGGATTACCAAGAAGTTGAGGGTGGATCAGTTTGAGACCGTGCGTTCTTGTGAAGGAGAGGATTTAAGTGATGTGATTTCTAAGGTAAGTGAAGAAGTTTTCGTTTTTAGGGTGTATTGATTTTTAGAACCCATTCGTTTACACTGATTTATTTTTAGACCCAGAATCTGTATGAATATGTTATCAAGTATGATGAAGTGCTATAATGTGATTTAAAATGCTATAATACAGTTAATACTAGTTAAACTACTGCATTAAAGGGCTCAACCACATCTACTTGTGTACAAGTTTTGACTTTTATAGGTGTTTTTTTTTTTGAGTTTTATGTAAGATTACTGTCTGGAGATGATTTTGGTCTAGATAATTCAGTTCATCATCTTGTTACTATAGTTGGTATTGGAGCAGGACTTGCACATCAAAAGGTGAAGGATATTAGTGAACAATTTCTGATATTTGTTTTTTATATTAAGTTTTATTTTGATATTAGTTTATTGGTTTGCATTTGCAGTGTGGATCAGAGATGGTTGCCGCTTTGTGGATAACTGAGATCTCTAGCCCTTTTCTACATATGAGAGAGCTTCTGAAAGAGATTGGTTATCATGATACTGATCTCAATTTAGCAGTTGATGTGAGTTTTAAGAAATCTAGTTTTCAATGGCTTTGTATTATTTAGCATGATTTCTCATTAACATGTTGGAGATTTATATATTTTTTTTGTAGTAATGTTCACTTAAACATGCTGATCCTCGGTAATGTCATAATAAAGGAATTCCTCCAGAGAGAAGGGAAGGGGAAAAAAGAAATTGATAAAAATAGTAAAGCCTTACCCTGTATCATTACTTATTTTGAGCATAGAAGTCTTGACATTTTATTTTTCTCTTGCACATAATACATGAATATGTACTTCATATACTAACCTTCTTAAAAAAAATCTTTAGAAGTCTTGAGATTTATTTTTCTCTTACATATAATACATGAATATGCACTTCATATATATACTAATCTTTTACAAAAAAAGGAGTGTTTATATGCAAATCAGAGCATTCTAGGATGACGGCCACCCTTTTGTCAATCATTTTCAAATGATGGGATTTTGATTGAAAATTAAATGAACAAGAGAAAAACTGATGACTCATTTCTTTTAATGATGCAGGTTCTATTTGCCTTCATATTCTCATTTGCAAGGATGATTGGTGGTCCATATCTCACATATGTTACTTTGACTGCAGATAATCATGTGCTTATTAAGGTATGACTCTTATTAAGTCCACTCTAATGTGAGGTTTTGGGGTCGGAGGTGCCGGTGCTGGTTGAGTTCGTGGCGGAGTGGTGCGGGCCGTACCGGTTGATCTCGCCCGTCATCGATTGCGCGTCTCAGGTTCGATTATGGATCCTTAACGAAATTTTGATTAGAGAAGCTTGTGTTATGGTTGCAGTTGGCGATTAATTGACCAATTTTGATTGATCGAGTAGCTGCAGTTTATTAATTCTCATACTTCAGTTTATTGATTCTCATAGCTCTAATTCTTTAATTTGACCGAGTTTTCGAAACTTCACTTAAAAGTTGAACTCTTTGGAGGACTTTGACTGCAAAGAATGGCCAATAAGAATGTAGACTGACCATTTGGAGTTACAAGTCTTAGCTTTAACTGCAGGTCTGCGGCTTGTCTAAAAATTTGCATGTAATATATACTTGCAAAATATAGTTTCAGTTAAAATTTATATCATGTACTGTAATGGTGTCTTTAGGCAAGCTGGAAGCATGTACAAGAATGTAAAGAAAAAAATTTATATCATGTACTGTAATGGTGTCTTTAGGCAAGCTGGAAGCATGTACAAGAATGTAAAGAAAAAGATTGAGAGGGGCATTGCTTTCCCAACTTGTATTTCGGTCAACAACATTGCATGTCATTACTCACCATTGGCCGGTGATGAGACTGTCTTGGAAGAGAATGATGTTGTGAAAATGTAAGGCTTAGAGGTCTACCATTTCTTAATTTGAAAAGTTTATAAGGATTGTAAGAATATTTATAGCTTCCTTTCGATTGTAGTGACATAGGGGTGTCATATAGATGGTTTTATTGCGGTTGTTGCACACATGTACTTCAAGAAGGACGTGTGGACTGGGAGAGCAGCGGATGTGATTACAGCAGCCAACACTATTGCAGAGGTTGCCCTGAGGCTTGTGAGACCAGGAAAGAAGGTGCGTGAAATATAATCTCTTTGTTGTGAATTGTTACCCAGATATTACAGTTATTTGATCTCTTAGTTAGATATCGTGAAATATAATCACTTTCTTTGTCTTGTGATTCGGTATATACATGTAAATGTTTCTCTGCTTCTATCATTGATTTATCTCTAGCTATTATATGTCCGTAACTATTATATGCATCTGACTTGAAGTTTCTATCATTATAGGCAGGCCAAGAATCCTTCAGATCCATTACAAGATCCTATTACAGAGGAGCTGCAGGCGCACTATTAGTCTATGATATCACCAGGTATTTATTTTTCAGAAATGTTCCCATGTCGTGCACTTCCTCTTCTCTATAGTACTTATTTATACTTACTTTTGTGTCCAATGTCAGGAGGGAGACTTTTAATCATCTGGCAGGCCAACATATCACCTTCCAATTTCAGAAGTTTCATGTTTTGTAATCAAATGTTGATGTACATTGTTTGAATGTTAGTTCGGTACGATATTTTCTGAGTTGAAATGTTGGTAGTGTGGATTTAATATTTTGTAATTTTTATACTATACCGATGTATGTTGGCACTTATCATTATGGTTGATTATGCTCAACATAATCACTTTTATATTGTGTATTAAAATTTGACTTGGCCATGTTCTTAAAAAGATTGTCCAGGTAATTGAATACCGTTACGGTAGAGGTAGGGCAACGGCAGTATATGAGGCGGTTTGAGAACCGTCGCACTTGCTCAAGGGCGACAGTTCCATAGCTAACGCAACGGTTTTGAACCGTTGCGTTAGAGCAAATATGTGGTAGTGATACTTTCTCTTATTTAAGTATATATAAGAATACTCTCTCTTATATATGTATAATGTATGCATGTATGTATATATATACTCTCTCTTAGTATATATGTATATATAAGTATACTCTCTCTTATATATGTATACTCTCTCTTATATAATATATTTCTATATATGTATAATATGTCATATGTGTATGTATATATATACTCTCTCTTAGTATATAAGTATATATAAGTATACTCTCTCTTATATAAGTATATATATGTATAAGTATATATAAGTATACTTTCTCTTATATAAGTATATATAAGAATACTCTCTCTTATATATGTATAATGTATGCATGTATGTATATATATACTCTCTCTTAGTATATATGTATATATAAGTATACTCTCTCTTATATATGTATACTCTCTCTTATATAATATATTTCTATATATGTATAATATGTCATATGTGTATGTATATATATACTCTCTCTTAGTATATAAGTATATATAAGTATACTCTCTCTTATATAAGTATATATATGTATAAGTATATATAAGTATACTTTCTCTTATATAAGTATATATAAGAATACTCTCTCTTATATATGTATAATGTATGCATGTATGTATATATATACTCTCTCTTAGTATATATGTATATATAAGTATACTCTCTCTTATATATGTATACTCTCTCTTATATAATATATTTCTATATATGTATAATATGTCATATGTGTATGTATATATATACTCTCTCTTAGTATATAAGTATATATAAGTATACTCTCTCTTATATAAGTATATATATGTATAAGTATATATAAGTATACTTTCTCTTATATAAGTATATATAAGAATACTCTCTCTTATATATGTTTTTTTATTTATAATTTATGTTATTTTAAGTGATTAATAAAATTATTATTTTACTATTATTATTTTGTCTTTTTTATAATTTAAAACTTAAATAAAATTTAAAAATTTGAAAAAAAAAATTTAAAAAAAAAGAAAAAACCCGGGCCGGCCCGGAACCCGGCCCGGGCCCGGATTTCCGGGCCGGGCCGGGCCGGGCCGGGCCGGATGGACAGGCCTAGATGTGATAAGCAAGTAGCATATCCACTCAGTTCATCTTGCTTTTCAACATTTAAAATATTCTATATAAAAAAATAGGAATCATATTTATTTTTTAGATTTCGATAAAAAAACAATAATGATACACATGATTTGCAAACTTGTGAATCTAGTGTTTTCTTTCAGTATTCAAGCTAAATGTGAGCAATTAAGTTTAGCTAAATGTGAGCAAATAAGCTAAATTTGCAAACTGAAGTTCAGTTGCCACTACCATCCTCTCAGTAAGCTTGGAACCCATTATTTGAAATATTTCAAAAGGATTAGATGAATCAGATAGATTCATCTTATATGAAAATTTTCAATAGGACCATAAATTTAGCATGTTGGCTCTTCTTTAATTTTAATTTAGCTTGAATTTCTACCTGATACGCTACGGGTGCATGTCATGAGTCGACATCCTCGCCTACCCATGCTTTAGAAAGTTTCGCGTAGTTTCTAGATGACTCATGGTTCTTTAAGCCAACAGATATTACTCGGGCAAATTTGCAAAATAGACCGTTTTTGGAAAAAAATTAGCGAAATAGACCGTTTTTGGAAAAAATTAGCAAAATAGACCGTTTTTTGGGAAAAGAGGTCGATTTTGAAAAATGGATCAGAAAACATACGGGGCTACTAGTCCCGTATGTTTAAAGTTCACTAATTTTGTTTGTTAACAAAACGTACGGGACTAGTAGTCCCGTACGTTTTCCAGAGCCAGCAAAGCCTATGCCAAGCAAATCCACGGGACTACTAGTCCCGTGGATTTCGCGAGCATTAAAGCTGGTCTGCAATTTATACGGGACTACTAGTCCCGTATAATTACAGACTATATATACACCGAACCTAGGGCACATTTTCCCCTTCGTTTTTTTCTCTCGCCATCTCCCTCTCTCTCCCCCGAGCACCCACTTTCGATCCCCTCTCTCTCTCTCTCCTGAGCTCAACTCTAGATCTCCCCCTCTCTCTTTCCCGAGCTCTCATTCTCTCCCAAGCCGATCAAAGCTCTCATTCTCTCCCAAACCCGATCTCCATCTATCCCAAAACCCAACAATCCCTATCTCTCTCCCCCAAACCCAACTCACCTCTTCCTCCCTCAAATCTGACGCCGACGCCGTCGATTCTCTGCGAGGCCGAGGAGATCTGAGATTTAATCAAGGTACAAATTTTAATTTTTCCATAAATTTATATGTATTGTTTAGTTAATGTTGTATATCTAGAAGAAATATATGATTATGGTCTAGAAAAATCTCTGGAAAAAAATATAATTATTATATGATGAATTTTAATGCTTCAGTTAAAATGGCGAACGGAGTACCGATTATTTGCTTATTCAATGGAAAACTGAGCGTTGGAATGAATAATATGCCTATATACGATGGAGGCTCTAGGAAAATGTTCATGTTGTCCAGAAATTACAACTTTGATAGATTGGTGGCGCAAATATACAGAGTCACTGGAATTAATCACGTCGAAAATTCCATTAAGATCTTCTGTAATTGTCCAATAAATGATCAAAGAACAATTGCTGTAGAGATCACCAATGATGAAGAATTGAATAACATGATACAGCTTGCGGAAAAACAAGTATCAATCGAGTTGTTTATTGAAAATATTCCAGTGTATTCGGTCGCTGAAGTTTCATATGCTCGTGGAGAGTTCTCCCGCATGCTTGATAATCAAATCTCGTTATCTCAAAGTGCCATGCGCTTTAAAAATGAGTCGGGTGCAATGTCAAATGACGTGTTCCACAACTCGCCGGGTTATGTTTCAGTTGATTTACCGGGGGGTTCTACAATAGCAGAGGATAATGATGAGGATGTAGATGCCGATGATGATACTGAAGATGCTGAAGAGGATGAACGTCTTGATAGTATGCAGTATGCAATTGGAGAGACCAATGATGACGTAAGTTGGATGGATGAATATTGCATAAATAACGACTACGTAGAGTTTGAAGAGCCGTTGCCAGAAGAGTTTCAAAATGATGAGTGGATAAATGCCTCACAAGCTGAGTTCGTCGATCCTGGCCCTAATTTCGATCCATCCGAGGACTTTACTTTCAAGAAAGGAGATCTTTTCGAGAGCAAGGAAACATTAATTTTCGCTATACGTGAATGGACAATAAAAAACCGGGTCAAATTCAAGACGGTGAAAAGCAACACAACTAGCTATCATGTAAAGTGTTACTTTAATGAGAGAGGTCAAGGAGAGAATACAAGTGCTGCAGATGATAGAAATTCAAAGTGTCCATGGAAGCTTAATGCAGCTATTAGGAAAAAATCACTTGGCCAGTTTATAATCTCTAGTTATTGCGGACTCCATACATGTTCTAATTCGACTGCAACTTATGATCATAAGACTTTGACTTCCTCTTATATCGCAAAGCTAATTATGCCCGAAGTTAGGCGGGAACTTGATCTTACTCCAGGACAGATAATTACAAGGGTATATGACATGAAAAGAATAACAATTTCCAAGTTTAAAGCATATGATGCACGGAGGAAGGCGTTGACTAAAATCTTTGGAGATTGGGAGGAATCTTACCAATTACTTCCGCATTACCTTTCAGCAATTGTGCGGAACAATTTCCAAGTTTAAAGCATATGGATTTATTGACCTTGGATTTGTTTATCTTAAACTACATATTATCGTATGGGTCGACTTGAGACATTTGGATTTGTTTAGCCTAGACTGATATATATTATCGTATGGATTTGTGATGTGTATTTTTGTCGGATTTTGGATGTGATGTGTATTCCGTTGGATTTGTGTTGTGATGTTGTTGATTACGTCAGATTTGTGTGGTGACGTACTCTATGATGAGATTTGTGTTGTGATATTGTAAATGATATCTTTTTGGCGAAAATTTTGCTTGTAATCGATAAATGAGGCCCGTGCATGTTTGGTGTATCCTGCCCAGCAAATCCACGGGACTAATAGTCCCGTGGATTTGCTGGGCAGGGGCTTTAGCTGCTCTGCAAAATCCACGGGACTAGTAGTCCCGTGGATTTGCTGGGCAGGGGCTTTAGCTGCTCTGCAAAACGTACGGGACTACTAGTCCCGTACGTTTTGTTAACAACAAAATTAGTGAACTTTAAACATACGGGACTACTAGTCCCGTATGTTTTCTGATCCATTTTTCAAAATCGACCTCTTTTCCCAAAAAATGGTCTATTTTGCTAGTTTTTTCCAAAAACGGTCTATTTCGCTAATTTTTTTTTCCAAAAACGGTCTATTTTGCAAATTTGCCCGATATTACTCTTGCAGAATTCGTGTAATATATGTCATAAATAATCTATGTAACTGATCTCTGTTCCATGATCACCACGGACATCTAACGGAATTGTGCACTCGCCAAAATCATACTCCAAAGAGTCCGCTGTGAATGCAACAGAGAATGGAAGAAATATATAGTTCTTAAATTACCAGCTCCTCCCCCATAATACTTGAAGTATTGTGGATGGAATCTTGATGAAATATATGTTGAGTGGATAAAGAATTTTATTACACCTGAAGTGCGAGTTGATTTTCTGCGATAAGAAATGAACAATATTAGCAAGTTTCTTGTTACATATATTTACACAACATGATCTGAAGAAAGGAAATCTAGACATGCAGAAGTTCACCTTTAGTCCAAGGTATCAATTCTTATATTCTTACATATATTTCACTGTAGCCTGTGAAGATTGTAGAACAGCGAGTAACTTGTCATTAATTTACAACCAATCATGTTATCTTCCTGTAATTTTAACTTGAAATGTAGTAGCTTGTGATTCTTGCATATGCTTCTACAGTTAGTTTGCCTGCTATCATTTACTTGGATGAATGTGCGATGAAGTGAAAGAAAGAACGCAATATCTGTTGTGGTTTTGCATCTGATAACTTTAAAGTTTTTTGACTGCTTCTCTTTAACAATGCTTTTCTTCTAATGTCTATTAGGTGAATATGCATATTTATTTGATATGGAAATTTTTGCTGTCAAAACAATAATAATATAAAACAAATTAAAGAGTTAGAAAATTCAGGCCTGATTGGGAGCAGTCGTGATATCACTGCCCTAGAAGATTAAGGACCCGCCTATCGCCCTGGCGCAGTTTGTCCTCTCTCCCATAGCGGTAAAAACCCCCGGAATCGGCCGGCCTCTGCACTCGGGCGTGAGACACAGAGCTTATGCTCAGACGAAAACAGTTGCCCAGAAAATAGAATATGTAAATATGTAGCCGAAATCTTTTCTTGGAGGTATAAGAGTAGAGAAGAGAAGAGAGTGTAGAGATTTTCCTCTTCGTTGGTGTCTTTCTGAATGAGCTCCAAGCCTCCTTTTATAGGTGATGAAAGGTGTAACTCCCGCTGAATCCAAGGGACCGTTACGCACGGTTAATGCTTCCGTTACCCGCATGCAGCCGTTACAAAATGTGTAAAACGTGCAAAAATGAAGGCTTGAGAAGCAAAAGTGTGCGGCTGCGGCGTGGCGTGCGGGCGCGGCGTGGCGTGGCGTGCGGGCGGGCGTGGCGAGGCGCGGCGCGGCGTGCGTGCGCGCGCGCGCGCGTGTGTGGTAGAACCGCAAAGCCCACAAAACCCAAAACACTATTCAAAGCCCAATAAGGAGAGAACCATTATATACCCTTTACTATTCATCTCATTTTCCGATGTGGGACTATTCACAAAGGCAAAATTACCTTTTCATGAATAAGTTTCCAACAGTCCCCCCCAAAAGGCAATATTGACTGAAAATAATAAATCAATAAATAAATCACAGAATAAATATAGGTTGGGCAACCTTTCGTATCGTGAATTCGGGAGAGGTAGCTTTCGGCTTTGAACCTTTCCTTAGTGAGTTTATCGCCACCTGAGGGACATAATGGACTAGGCCTTGAATTAGGTCCCTTGGATCAGGTATTGATAAAAACACACACAATACGTTTCATCTATTGAGCTAAGCGGGTTGAGCGTTAAAGGCCATGCTCACAAAAAACCGACTCATGAGAGTTTCTAGGGGTCAGCCCTGTCCCCCCCAACCGCGGCCATCACGGTTCCTCTCACGTAGGTAAGTCCTCAAAGGGTACTACAGCTGTTTATTTAATACCCCCCACAATACACGCGTTGGACTTATTAAGAGTAAAACTCAGCCTAGCCAGCTGTATCATAAGAGCATCGTCACCATAGAGAAGGGGTAGTAGTAAATGCTACATAATGATATATAAATATATCTAGGTCGATGCTCCACACGAGAGTCACTTGTCCAGCTTGTTTCTACCACATTGAACCGACATTGGGACTACGTCTCCAAATAAGGGTTGGGTTGCCGCTGTCAGTGACCTCATTTATGGGCTTAACCCCATCTCCCTCGATGAATCCAGAACCACACTCCTGGATAATCCCTTAGTCAAAGGGTCAGCAATATTTTTCTCAGACTTTACAAAATCCAAGATCACAACTTTGCCTAATAGGCGTTGTACAGACTTATATCTTATTTGAATATGTCTGTTATGTTTTTTATTTACATGTACTTGCTTTAGAAGCTCTATGGTAGATCTAGAATCAGAGTGAATGGAAATAGGAGGCGAGGCGTGGCGAGGCGCAGTGTGGCGTGCGTGCGCGCGCGTGTGTGTGGTAGAACCGCAAAGCCCACAAAACCCAAAACACTATTCAAAGCCCAATAAGGAGAGAACCATTATATACCCTTTACTATTCATCTCATTTTCCGATGTGGGACTATTCACAAAGGCAAAATTGCCTTTTTCATGAATAAGCTTCCAACAATTTTGATATATTTCTTCCTTCGCTCTATGCTTTGAATATCTATGCTGTGAGCTAATTATTTATAGTAATTTCAATAATATTTTCATTTACTTTGGAATGTTTGTCTAGATTAGATAATTTACCATTTTTTCATATTAATGCAGATATTCTACTTGGTTGGATTTGCCTTGTTTTTTTAAAAAAAAAAATTCTAAAGTTGTCGGTGATTCAGGTTAGTTAAGCAACTTTCTTCTCTTTTCTCTTTATTTTGTTCATAGTGATGGTAACTCTATTTCCTTGTATTTATCTTCTTCTACACTTAAATATTTATTATTATTATTATTATTATTATTATTATTATTATTATTATATAACTTCAAAAAAAAGTAACCTTAGTATATGAGATATTTGTGATTACTGATGCATGTATAGTGTATCAAATTTCTCAAAAAACCCTTAAATACTATTGAACATCAATTAAGTACTTATTCTCTCAAATTATATTCACTGCTATACTTATGTTAAATAAAAAATAAAATCAATAATTTAACGCATTAAATTTTCTTTTCCTTGCAGAAATTTTCATTCTACTTCTTGGATTGCATAATCACTATACACTTGCATAAGAGTACCTTCTTCCAAATGACTTCAAACCAAGGTTTGAATGCAACATAAATATATATTAGTATTACTTTATGTTTATTTATGTTTATTAATAGTATGTTTTATTATTTATAACAGAAGAACACATTCTAATACATGAGAGTAGAAAAACCAAATATAATCAGTTGAATGTTGATCAGAAGAGAAGTTACATTCAGAAGGTCATTGATGATAATAGAAAGAGGAAAAGGAATGATTTTGCTGGCAGTAGTACCAATAGCAAGGGAAAACGTAAAATTGATTTGTTTTGTGGAGCGCAACAACGAGAATATGAGCATGGAGGTTTGCATACATTAATTTTATAATTTATTAAATGAATTATATGATTTTATATATCTAAATTTATTTAACACTAAAAACTATTAATTTTTTCTAGGTCAAATTAACCATGAACCAGTATGTTCTTTATTATATAAACTACACACTCCAAAGTCTTGTTCATTTTGTAGAGCAAAAAAGTTTGAACATGAGCCACCAACATCCTGTTGCCACAATGGTGAAATCCACTTAGTAGATGTGAATGTTAATGACGAGTTATATGCACTTTATACAGTACAAACCCAAGAGGCAATTGAGTTTCGAAGACAAACCAGAAAGTATAATAGCATTTTCTCATTCACATCATTTGGGGCAAGGTTTGATAGAGAACTTGCATCAAACAGAAAGGGTATTTTCACATTTAGAGCACTCATTTGGGGCAAGGTTTGATAGAGAACTTGCATCAAACAGAAAGGGTATTTTCACATTTAGAGCACAAAGACAAATATATCATAATCTCCCCTCTCTAATTCCAGAAGAAAATAAGCCTTCCTACTTTCAACTTTACTTCTACGATACAGAGAATGAGTTGCAAAATCGAATGAGAATATTAGATAATGCAAACATGAGTACGACTACCATTAAAAGATTGATGGATATACTAGAAGGAAACCCATATGCAAAATTTCTGTGGAAACTGAATGATTTTCCATCTCTTGAAGACTTCAAGATCATTATAAATAGAGATGCTGCAGTAGATCAACGTGTTTATAACTCGCCAACAGTGGATCAGGTTACAGCTGTCTGGGTAGAGGGAAATAATGAAAATATTCCGTATGAGAGAGAAATAGTTGTCCATTCACACTCTGGAAGGAATCATCAAGTTAAGCACTATTTTGGTTGTTATGATCCTTTACAGTATCCTTTAATCTTTCCAGGCGGAGATGTTGGATGGCACCAAAATATTAAAAGAAGGGAGAAAAATGATATTCACCGTTCAAAACAAGTAAATACAACATCTCAAATGACTCAGCAAACTTTTACATCTGCAGAAGACATATTTAAACGAGAAAGGGAAGGTAAATCATAATTAAAATTTTTTAATAATATTAAAAAATTAAAAATTAACTTAACCTGCAAACTTGTAGGTGTTAAAGCACCAAAGGTGGGAAGCGTCTCATGTCGAGAATATTATTGTTACAAGTTTTAGATAAGAGACACTCGACAATCTACTGTATTAACATCGGCAGGCCGGTTGTTCCATCAATATGCTGTTGATATATACATAAAGCTTGAAACAACAAGACTTGATTATTTTAGAAAAAAACAATCAGAAATCAAAGCAGAGTTATTCCAAGGCATAGTCGATAGTGTAGCTGCTGGAGAAGCAAAAGCATGTCAAGTCGAAAAAAGAATAGTGCTGCCATCATCATTTATTGGTGGTCCTAGAGATATGCGTCGTAGATATCTTGATGCAATGTCATTAGTACAACGATTTGGCAAACCAGATATTTTCATCACAATGACATGCAATCCTGAATGGGAAGAAATCACGGAGGAGCTACATCCAGGACAGACACATAATGATAGACCAGATCTAACCTTAAGGATATTTAGAGCAAAATTGCAAGACCTGAACGATCAGCTATTTAAAAAGGAAATCTTTGGAAAAGTTGCTGCTCATGTTCATGTCATCGAGTTTCAAAAAAGAGGGTTGCCTCATGCACACATGTTAATTATTCTAATGGGAAAGCACAAAATCGTATCATTAGATCATTATGATAAGTACGTATCAGCAGAAATTCCAGACTAGTATGAAAATCCAATTCTATATGAACTGGTAAAAAAGCATATGATGCATGGCCCTTGTGGAGAGTTAAATATGAAGAATGTTTGCATGCAAAATGGCGAGTGCAAGTATCACTATCCTAGAGAATTTTCTCCAAGATCAGTACAAGCGAAAGATGCTTACCCAATTTATAAAAGGAGCAAAAATAATAGAACAATGTTGGTTCGAAACAAAATTCTTAATAATCAATGGGTGGTACCTTACAATCCATATTTACTGACACGTTATAATTGTCACATCAATGTTGAAATATGCTCAGGCATAAAAGCAGTGAAATACCTTTATAAGTACATATATAAAGGCCATGATAGAGTGGCAGTAAACATTGAGTATAATGAAGGTGAAAAGGTTGTGAATGAAATCAAAAATTTTTAAGATGCAAGATGGGTATCAGCTCAGGAAGCTTTCTGGAGAATATATGAATTCCATCTTAATGAGATATTCCCGGCTGTCATTAACTTACAACTTCACATGCCAAATCAGCAATATGTTTCTTATTGGAAACATCAAGACCTATCGAAATTAATTCACTTGGAACATATCTCCAAGACGATGCTTACAGAATTTTTTACTATGTGTAAAAAAATTAAAGAATGTAACAAGAAGAAACATGAAAAGGACCACGAAAAGGAGTTATTATATGTGGACTTTCCTGAATGTTATGTTTGGGATTCAACATCAAAATCTTGGAGTCCAAGAAAACAGAGACAAGTGATAGGGCTAATAAAAGGGGCTAATCCAATTGAAAGAGAGAGATATTACTTGCGACTATTGCTTACTCACGTTAGGTGCCCGACATCATTTGAGGATTTACTTATGGTAAATGGTATTCATTGCAAATCTTTCAAGCAATCAGCCTAGAAATTAGGTCTTTTGGAATCTGATGATAGCACAAGAGAGTGCTTAGATGAAGTCATCGTCTTCCAAATGCCAACAGGACTTCGACGTTTGTTTGCAACTATATTGGTTCATTGTGAGCCCACATATGTTAATTATTTGTGGGATCAATATCTTGAATCATTATCTAAAGACTTCTCAAGGAAACCAAATGCTACTAGAGCTTCGGTGATAAATGATACTCTTCTCAATATTAACTTCTACTTAGAGAGTATGGGAAAGGATATTAAAAAAATTTGATTTGCCACCTTTACAAACAAAAACCATTTTAGAGGAAGGTTCATACCCAAGAGAAATAAAAGAAGCGCTAGATGTACAAATCCCAACTGATGATGTAAATGCTGCAACAAAACTCAACTATGAACAACATATTGCATACACTACAATATTAACACGAGTTGAAGCAAATAAAAGTGGAGTTTTCTTTATTGACGGTTCTAGAGGAACTGAGAAGACTTATTTATATCGTGCTCTACTTGCCACAGTAAGATCGCAAGGTATGATAGCTCTTGCTACAGTGATATCAGGTGTCACAGCTGTAATAATGCCTGGTGGAAGAACAGCACACTCCAGATTTAAAATCAAAATCCCAACAACAGATTCATCTATGTGTGGTATATCAAAGCAAGATGGGACATCAAAACTCATTAGAATAGCTCGTCTAATAATTTGGGACGAGGCTCCTATGGCTAAACGCGTTGCAATTGAAACATTAGATAGAACACTAAGAGATTTAATGGATCAAGATGAACCATTTGGCAGAAAAGTAATTGTATTTGGTGGCGATTTCAGACAAGTTTTACCGGTGGTGCCTCGCTCAACAAGATCACAAACTATCAAAGAAGGTTTAGTAAGCTCACATTTGTGGAGCAAAATGATCAAACTACAACTTTCAAAAAATATGAGAGCAAAATCAGACACAACATTCAGTGAATTTCTTCTTAGGATTGGGAATGGAGATGAACCAACAGTGACCCAAGATCTCATAAAACTGCCTAATGCAATATTGATCCAGAATCAAGGTGATGACCTACCGGAAGATTCTCTCATAAATTTAATTTTTCCATCTTTAGATGAGAATTTTAAGTCTATTGAATATATGAAAGATAGAGCTATCATTGCAACAAAAAATGAATATGTTGACAAGTTAAATGATAGACTAATAAAAAGGTTTTCAGGAGAAGGAAAAGAATTCTATAGCTTTGATGAAGCAATTGATGACACTAATCATCATTACCAAGAAGAATTTTTGAACACTCTGCTTCCTAATGGACTACCGCCACACAAGCTCAAGTTGAAAAAATATTGTCCAATTATTTTACTAAGGAACTTGGATCCAACTAATGGATTGTGCAATGGTACAAGAATGGTATGTTAATATTTTAACTACAATGTAATTCAAGCTAAAATCACAATGGGCCAATATGCTGGGAAAGAAGTTTTCTTGCCAAGAATACCATTGTCACCAGCAGAAGATAAATGATTACCATTCAAGTTCAAACGCAAACAATTTCCCATAAGATTATGTTTTGCAATGACAATTAATAAATCCCAAGGGCAAACAATACCTAACGTAGGTATTTATCTACCTGAACCAGTGTTCTCTCATGGGCAATTATATGTTGCTTTATCGCGGTGTACTTCTATGATGACAACCAAGGTCTTAATAACATCAGATGGGAAATTTGCAGAAGAGGAACAATACACAAAAAAATATTGTATACAAGGAAGTTCTCCAGCCAAAGGACCATGAGGAATAATTCAAATGACCAATAACATTTTTGAAGGTTAGGAATTTATATAATAAGTAGCTTCAATTTTATTAAAGTTTTTTTCTTAAAAATAATTAAAAATTTTACAATTCATTATTACATCATTCACTCTCTTCATTCAAATTCATGTACTAATCAAAATTAAAATAACTTTAAACATTGTAAATAACATTAATTAATAAATTCAAATTACTATAATTAGTGTCACACCTTTAATATAGAAATAGTCTTATTTTCTTTTCTTTTGAGTTTATTTAGTACTTCAGATGCGTTGTTATTTATATATAACAAACTATTCAAATTCTTGCAGGAACAATGTCATCCAACAACAAAGCATCAATTCCACATATCCAAATACACCAACTCAAAAAGTTTCAAAGAGAGTGGACCATTCATGTTGTTATCCTAAGAACTATTGAGTCATCTTATGAGAACAACAAAGGATTAGGAAAACTACTAAAATTAATTTTTGCCGACTCAGAGGTAATGTAATAATATTCTACATGCTATAATTCTATTGATAATTGTTGATACTTATTCTTAAATAAAGTAATACATACAATGTTTAAGTACAATATCCATCACTTTTTATCATGCCATAGCAATCGTTATTTTAAATCTATGCATAGCCTTCTCAATTTCTTTAAAATTTATAAATTATAAATATAAATTAAATTATAATTGTTGATGCTTATTCTTATATTAATTATTATCACCTTACTGTGTATAAGATCATATTAAAAAAATTCCTACAATTATTAAAGAGGTAAGCAACATGTAATTCATTTTCGTAAATTTTATACACCAAATATCATGCTTTCTTCCTAATTATATGTAAATTAATTGTCTAGATATGTCTAACAATATAAGCAAGCAAATAATTGGAATATGACATCAACACAACATTTTATACACATTGCAACAAAATAGTTATTATTTAGATTAAATTTTTAATAAGCATATTTACCATAAATTTATTATTTAGTTGCATGATCAAGCTAAATTTTGAGCATATTAATTTATCATGTTAGCCCCTCAACTTAGTTGGTGTTGCAAAACTTTGGTGGAATTATTTATACAAGTAGCGCCTATTTAAATTTTTTACAAAGAGCTAATCCGTATAAACGATTAAATTTGTTAATTGAGATCAAATGACTTATTAGTAAGTTGTAGAAATTCTAATTCAATAACAGGTAAATTTATATAAATAAGGTTAGTTTCGTTGATGAGTTAAAAGGTAATTTTTTTTTGGACCCAAAGATTATGGATAGCTTTCAGTAAAATCTAGAGAATGGTTATTTAAAAGTTTCCCACATAAAACTACATTTATACATAACTTACGTCATTTATTACTTATCTTATTTATCTTAGGCTTAAATAAATGTTAATGTATTAGTTATTTGTCTTATTTATCTTAGGCTTAAATAAATGTTAATGTATTAGTTATTTGTGAGATAATATTAATAATATTTGTAGGGGGAAAAAAAATACAAGGTATTATGTTTGGAGAAACTATTGAAATGTATAAGCACATGCTTCAGAAGAATCATGTTGTTTACATCTCAAATGGAGAAGTCAAACCAATAAACTCGCTTTATGGAAATGTACATGAGTCAATTGAGTTGACATTAACTAAGAACATTTCTATCAAAGAATCAAAAGCAGAGTTTCAATTTGATAAGATATTGAATAACTTTAACTCAATCAAAGACGCAATTTCCAATGAGGATACAAGGAATATAAGTAAGTATTTGTAAATACCTTTTATTTTTAATTTAAAAATTTATACATGAAAACTTATTATAAATTTATGTGCAGATGTTCTTGCAATGATAGCGAATATCAAGCCTATGATCAAGTACGTTACAAGATATAATAAGGCAGACACAAGGCGAGACATCATTATAGTAGACAAAGAGTATACACGCATGCTTTTATTTCACAATAAATTAATTATTCAAAATATAATATATTAACCTAAAATTGTCTAACTTTTCTTACACAGTGAGATAACATTGTCTGTAACTTTATTCGGAGATTAAGCTGGCAATGAAGGTTCAATTATTGAAGGAAATATGCATGAGACAACTATAATAGCGCTATCAAATTTTAAAATATCATTGTACAAAGGTAACATTTTCTATTATTGAATTGTAAATTATTTATCAATAAATATCAAATTCTAATTATGACTATTATATATGCAGGGGAGATGTGCATAACTTCGCAAATTGCATCGACAATATGTATCAACCCTGAAATACAACTTGCTAAGGACATGCGAGAATGGTAATTCAAATAAAAAAAGGTAACTTAATGAATTAAATTTTAAATATTTTTAAAATTATATGCAGGGCTCTTTCAAAAGACAAGATCAAGACTAATGGTGCTCCGTCAAGACTATTTAAAAATGCAGCAAAAATAAATATTAGTGACATTATGCAAGCTTCATAAAATTCATCAAAGGTATGATATTAAAAAACCTACTATAAAATATTAATGAATCAAGAGCTTCAGTTTCAAAACAAGCTGATATAAATAGATCTTGTTTCATGAATCAAGAGCTTCAGTTTCAAAACAAGCTGATATAAATAGATCTTGTTTCATTGATGTTTCAAATACATTTACAATTATTACTTTAACAAGCTGATATAAATAGATCTTGTTTCATTGATGTTTCAAATACATTTACAATTATTACTTTTACATAAATTTTTAAAAAATTCTTTTTGTACTATATTTTTTAAAATTATTTTATAATTTCTTATTTTATTTACTAAATATATTTAAACTACCTTTATAACTAACTAAATTTTTACAAATCTACAGGCACAATATGGCAGGGTTTTTTTAAAAAAAAAAATTACAAATCTACAGGCACAATATGGCAGCTTTACTGAAAAAAATAAGTAATATCTTAAATAGACATGAGGTTTGGTAGTACTCATGCAAAGGCTGCAATAAAAAAGTAGACAAAACTATTTATGACAAATGTCAAAATTATCAAAAAAACAATAAAGACAGTATACCGAGGTAAAGTACTATCAATTACTCATGAAAGAAAAATATAAAGATTAAATATAAAAATATCATCTGATGTACAATGATAATATAAAATGTAGGTATGTTGTTAAAATCATAGTGGAAGATGAAACAGATACTGCAAGAGTCACACTTTTTGACGCAGCAGAAACTTTGATAGGCTGCAATGCTCAAAACTAAACAGATACTGCAAGAGTCACACTTTTTGACGCAGCAGAAACTTTGATAGGCTGCAATGCTCAAAACTTCATGGATGATATAAAAGAGGTAACTTCTTACTTTATTATATTTTATACATATAAAACAATATGTTTCATATATAAGATCTTAATTTTTTTCTCATTAAAACAGAAAAAAAATCAGAGTTCATTCTTTCAAAAGTTTGTTCTCAACATCGGAAAGACATATAAGTTCCTTGTAAGGTTGGATGAGAACTCAAAGGATGAACGTGCACAGGGAAAGATGATAGCACAAGAAATCCAAATCCAAAAAGACATCCCAATCAACATTGATGATGATTATTCAGTTCTCCATTTACCAAAAAAGAAGATAAAGGTGGAGAATGATTGATCAAGGGCCCACAAAAATTAAACATGAATTTTTTTTGTTTTAATTACATTTACAAATTGATTGAAGGATTTCAAATGAGCTTTTCATATGCTTTTAAGATTATGAACTGATGAATTTAATTTGTTAGGACAATTTATGATTTATACGCATATGCTCATATAGTTGTTTGATAACTATTGCATGCTTTGATTGTTATTGTACTTATTAACTTAAATTTAACATTAAATTATGTGAATCTAAATACATATTCAGAGAATAGCTCACTTTATTACTTTAAATTTGCATGTCAACTATTTTTTACTTATCTATACTGCACATGAACTATTGTTGATGAGTCCTTAGTAAGAAATATGATGACAAAGCACAGCTTACTGAACCTGTTGAGAGGAAACAATAGATTTTCATAGAGAAGCACTACCACATATTTGCTCTAACGCAACGGTTCAAAACCGTTGCGTTAGCCATGGAACCGTCGCCCTTGAGCAAGTGCGACGGTTCTCAAACCGCCTCATATACTGCCGTTGCCCTACCTCTACCGTAACGGTTTTGAACTCTATTGCGACGGTTTTTTGAACCGTTGCCCCTGCATCTAACGCAACGGTTTTAAAAGACAAGCAGTTACAGTAACGGTTCTCATAGAGCTACGGCGACAGTTGGAGCTATTGCAACAGTTTTAAAAGATCTAATGCAACGGTTTTAGTAGGCTATAGCTATGGTTTTGATAGAGCTACGGCGATAGTTGGAGCTATTGCAACAGTTTTAAAAAACCTAACGCAACGGTTTTAGTAGGCTATAGCTATGGTTTTGATAGAGCTACGGCAACAGTTGGAGCTATTGCAACAGTTTTAAAAGACCTAACGCAACAGTTTGGATTGAGTTATCGCAACAGTTTGGATAGAGCTATCGCAGCGGTTTTGATCGAGCTATTGCAACGTTTTTAATCGAGTTATTGCAACAGCTCAATCGGACCTGTTCTTGGTTTCCTACGTCAAAATAATATAGTATTCAATTACCCGGACAATCTTTTTAAGAACATGGCCAAATCAAATTTTAATACACAATATAAAAGTGATTATGTTGAGCATAATCAACCATAATGATAAGTGCCAACATACATCAGTATAGTATAAAAACTACAAAGTATTAAATCCACACTACCAACATTTCAACTCAGAAAATATCGTACCGAACTAACATTCAAACAATGTACATCAACATTTGATTACAAAACATGAAACTTCTCGGTCAAAGACTATATTCTCTATTTGTTTCCAAAAACTTGTTCCTCAATGTCAAATACTCACTAGGAACCTGTCAGTATCAATCTCAATCTTGGCTTTCATCATTTCTGTACCTGTGTAAATTTCCATGAATCA